TCTGATGCCGAGGGCTACGTAGTATATACTGACAGAAGGTTAACAACCTAGAGAGTATGGATCTGATGCCGTTAAAACCCTAGACAGTACAGATCTGCACCCTTTAGCATAGTGTGGACACTGGTCTCTTTACCGAAATGTTGAGCCTTTAAAACAGGGATTAACAGATTAGTACTGATTTTATTTAGGATCTGGTACGTTCTTAAAATGGTAGCTAATATTTTCTGCTAAACGTTCAGCATTTTCTTGGGAAAAAATCCCAGAAAATAACCCATTTCCACATCACGTAGAAGAAAAACATGAAATAGTCATAACATTTTTATGTATTTTAAATATCAAAAGCATCAACTATGAAACGATTTCTCTGATTGGCCAGTGCATTTTCCATTGTAACGCGTTAGATGTGAATTTCAACGCGTTAAAAATATTTTAACGTGTTACTTTTACATTTGAAAAAGTAACGCGTTAGAAATGACTTTTAACGCGTTAAATGCAATTCTAACGCGTTAAAAGTAACTTCTAACGCGTTAAAAGTAACTTCTAACGCGTTACTTTTTTAACGCATTACTATAGATCGTTTTTGGCCCGAACCGCCACCTATAGTAGGTGTTCAATTCCCCGATCAGACGCGAATCACGTTTTCTCTGAGTACTCCGGGTTCTCTCCCATATTAAGACCATATATACTTAATAATTAGTTTCTTAGTTGTTGCAAAATATTTTTTAAAGTTTACTGGATGGATAATGATCAGTGTAAACTGTTAAATTGGTTCTCCAGAACGACTTAAGGACACTTTTACATCAATGAAATATAAGCTTTTGTAACAAAAGATGTACAAACAAGTGTCGCACTCAGCCTTTATAAAATATTAAACACAGCCAATTTTAATGTTATTCTGATCAGAGACGTGTATATATATACTACTTTAAATGTATCTGTTCTGATGCCATATTCGACTAGATCAGCATCAGTTCAGCTAGAGTTAAGCCCCTTAGTCCATATACCTGAACAGCAGATGTCGCTAATTTGAAAGGTGAGTATTTCATAAACACACTACCGCCATTGTCGGGGATTTAAACGTCTACAGGTAAATACCTTAACCCAGACACCGATCTCATCATAACGTAGCGCACGGTCTGATAACTCCCAACTAATCTCCGAGCACCTGTCCTATATACACCTAAATACACTCTGTAGGCCTGAAGAGTGAACTACCTGCCATTGGCTAAGTGTTTTCTGTCGAGAAATACTGGTTCCACGAATTTAGATTGCTATCTAAATCCGTGGAAATCCGGAAATCTTTTCCCATACTTTTTTTAGGCATTATTTAAGAAAAGGTGAATTTTGGAATGAACAATTTGAGACAGTTTCTTGAAGACCTTGAAATAAGATTAGAAAAGATGCTGCAAACTACGAATCTCAGAAATTCTCTACTTAAGTACATGCATGCTGTTAGGGCTTTGATATAGGGAGAAAACTGCGTGGCAAAATGTTGTTTCAGAAAGTGAATGATAAGTGCTTATTGCGACACTTTTTATACATGTATAAAATAATAATGTAACGTTTGCACAATAAACAATTTGTTAAAATGAAATGAATAAACTGAAAAAAGCAACAATATTGTACTTCGGGAGTTGTGCTAATATTATTTCAAAAATGACTGGAAATATTTGGATGATCTTTCTCCAAACAGGGGAGACTATAATCAAGTAATTGCTATATAAATGTCATAATTGTATGGCCTCATACAATTTTGGTTCAGAGTGTCATAGAATAATAACGATGTAGCATATATTGGTAAGCTTAAATTCAGCAAACCTGCTGTAGATATTTAACAGGTTTTGCACAGCCCCTCATAGCTACATGTAGGTGTGATTCTTCATTTTGGTAACAGTTGACAGAAATAATAATAAAACACAAAGTTCTTTGAGTATATAGCAAAAACGAGCAGCATTCTTTCAACATGATATAATAAATTATACAGTTAGGTACATTTTTTGCACAGAATTAGATTAATTTTGATTTTGCTTATTTTATAATATATAACAAATGGCACCACCATCAATGTGTATGGTGATTGAATTTGCTGCAGTAGCTATTTATCTATTTATTCATATAAAAAAGACAAGAGCTTCTTAATATTTTCCATATTGTACATTCACCTCTTCAAAGGTTCATCATGACCAGGGGAAATCAGATATAAAACATGACAAGTGTTTATATATAAGCATAAAACATGGGAAATGTTATGTTCGTCTGTCATTTGTAAACACGGAATGCCCCCACATGTACAGATTACGCATAAAAATGGAGAACAAAGATTGTGTTACAGTTTGCATTTTTGACAAAAAGTTGAACATAAAAATAATTAAATTTTTGGGGCAAAGCAAAGTTTGCAAAAAACCAATATGACCTTTACCAACTTTGAAGCTCACAGGGTTTAAATATGTCAAACATTTCAAACAACTTCTAAAGAACCAAAAGTACTAGAGTCATGATACTGGTAGCTTTTTGCATAGGATCCGAACAAAGTTTGTGAAAACAAACAAATGACTTTGGCCTTAATTCACCAAGGCCCTAGGGTAAAATGAACTAAAACCTATAAATGACTTCTTATGACTAACACGTGCACAGAGATCAAAGGTGATGACATTTGTCCAGCGATGTGCTGGGATAAAGGGTTTTCATTTTTTTTCAAATGAATAACCTGTATTCATAGTCACATGGGTTCAATGTATTAAACCCTTTAAAGTATTTCTACTCGGTAACTAAGAGGCTAGGGTGCTGACATCTCGCCAGTCTAACAGGATGAAGGGCTGTTAATTCTGTTTGAATGAAGGACCTAGACTCACGTTTAAGGTCAGATGTGTTCAACCTTTAAACCACTTCTTCTGAATAAACAAGAGACTGATGTTCATGTTAATTGGCTTAATTATAAATTATTTAATTGTGAGAAGTGCTGTGGAGTATGGGATCTTAATCAATGACCAAGACCAACTTTAAATTCAGAATAGTAGAGTAAAGTTAAAAATCTTCCAACAGAGAGTAAAAGATGTAAAGTAATGAAATCTTCCAAAAAAGGCCCATAATGTGTATCTTTCCATAAGCGCACTCCTCACTAAAAGCTAATGTACATATTTTATTCCTTCATTTTGCAGCTAAGTGTCCAGTATTTAACAACATGCAGCCATGTTTTGGATAACCCTTCTGCTGACTGCAAGTCCAATATGGGGACAAACATATGGTGAGTTAAATTGATAATTATATCTTAGAGATTTCTGCCAGCCATAATGTGTAGTTGTTAGCTGGAATTTAATATATTGGGGGAATTCTATTCAAATTACTTATATGTGCTCTCCTCAATTTAGCATGTGAAATTCTATTCTTTAATGTTACCAGTTAATGTATTGATTAGACCTTTCGGGTATCTGTTAAGTACAAACGGAGCAGGCTTTGTCAGGTCTGTCATCTCTAGGGGTATTTGTGACCCTTTGGGTATCTGTTAAGTACAAACGGAGAAGGTTTTGTCAGGTCTGTCATCTCTAGGGGTATTTGTGACCCTTCGGGTATCTGTTAAGTACAAACGGGCAGGCTTTGTCAGGTATGTCAACTCTAGGGGTATTTGTGACCCTTTGGGTATCTGTTAATTACAAACGGAGAAGGTTTTGTCAGGTCTGTCATCTCTAGGGGTATTTGTGACCCTTCGGGTATCTGTTAAGTACAAACGGAGCAGGCTTTATCAGGTCTGTCATCGCTAGCGGTCTTTGTTGTCTGTTTGTATTATGATATTAAGATATTTTGTGTTATCGTTTACAATTTTTTGATGGAAACCTTTTGATAATTAATTTCAGCAGAATTTGAAGTAAGTAGAAATGTTGCTTTAATGATTTTAAAGAAATCAACGGTGCTTGGTAAGTCACCATGACCAAGCTCGTTGATGGTGTAAATAGGAGATGCACAATTGTCTACTATGTGAACAGAAGTCAAGTGGGAGATGGCTTGATAATGTTTTAAGTTTGATGTTTTATTGGTCCCACACTAGTCTCCGAGGGACTCAAGGTTTTGCACTCTGTTCTTCCACAGAAATTCGTCTGGGCCATTTACTTTATGCCATTTCACCTAGAGTAACCAGAATTGGTATACAAGTGCTTTAAGTACATCATGGAATGGCGAAGTGTCATGTGCAAAAATTAGGTCACTGCCTTTGACCTAAACATTTGAAAAAAATTGACAGGGGCATATCTTATATACTCTTTTCACCTGGAGTAATCAGATTTAATATGTACATTGTGTAAGTTCTGTACATTGTCAAATACAAAATTAAGGTCACTGTGACCTATGATATGACCTTTGTCCTAAACCTTTGAAAAAGTTTGTCTACTAGGCATATCTTCTATACTATTCCTGATACGTTCACCTGGAGTAACCAGTTTAGTATGCAGGTGTATCTTGGAATGGCAGAATGTCAAGTACAAAACATAGGTCACTGTGACCTATGATTTTGACATTTGACCTCTACTTTGGGGGCATATCTTCTATACTCTTTCACTTGGAACAAGCAGATTTGGCATGTATACATCTTGGGAATGCAGAGTGTCAAGTACAAAAAAATAAGTCACTGTGACTTATGGTTTGACCGTTGACCTCAACATTTGAAATTTTTGGGGTACTTTGATTTGGTATACAAGTACATCTTAGGATGAAGGATTCAAGTACAATGCTTTGACCTTTCACTTTATCCTTAATTTTTTTTTGTCAAGGGCATATCTTTTATACTATTTCACTGGAGTAAATTGCTGTAACCAGACTTGGTATGCATGAACCATACCTGCCAACCCTGGATATACTGAAAGAGGCTGATGACCCTCTTTTGAAAATAAAAAAGAGGGTCATAGCGTGCAACGTCTTTTTTCGCAACAAATATAAGAAAAATACATGTAGATATTAAATTAGAATTTTAATATTCTAATGATGTAAAAGGTACATTCTACATTCATTGAACTGTTCTTCCAGCAGATCTAGCTGATCCTCATCCACAATACCAAATTCAAAGCTGAAAAATAAAAAGATTTGTCAACAACACAACTTATAAAATTAATTCATAATAATAAATATGATACTGAGTTTTCACAGGCATTTTTTTATGTCAATTAAAATGGTCCTGGCAATAAGATGTCACATTCTTCTCATATAAAATACCATTTTGTTTCTGTCAATAAAAATGGTCCTGACAATGAGAAATCGCACCCGGACTCATATAAAATATCAGTTTTATATGTGAAGGGATTTAATTCTTATTGTCGGGATCATTTTGATTGACAGAAACAAATCATCAAATGTCGGTGCGTGTTTTTGAATGTCTAAGTAACATCGTTTTAGCAAGATACAAGATACAAGAATTTTTATTTAGAGTCGTATATGTTGTAATGGAAACATTAGCTCTGTAGCGCTATTATTACGACAAAGCACCAGATCCAACTGAAAACACAAGAAGTAGGTCAGTTCAAGGTGACCTTTAATTTATAGCCTGAGACAATATAAGCGTACAGCGATGTAAATAAAGAAATCATTACCGGTGGGGGATTATGGATTGCCTGGCAATACTATGCCTTCTTTATATTATATCATTGCTTATTTTTTTACGTCTTACATTACATTTCAGATTGCCCACAGGACTGGTTTGAACATGGTGACCACTGTTATCACTTCTCCTTCAACCCACTTAAGACTTACCTCCAGGCTAAAGAACTCTGTGAGGTAAAATTCAAAACCTGTGTCAAGTATTACCATACATACAAAACCTGTGTCAAGTGTTACCATACATACAAAACCTGTGTCAAGTGTTATCATACATATAAAACTTGTGTCAAGTAAATTGAATATATAGGTACAAAACATTTGTCAAGGATAAAAAAACTGTCTGATAGCAACCTGTATATTAAATGTGTTACTAGGTAACCTGCCAGATGATGGTGTGAGAAACAATAAGATGCTTATTTCTGAATGTAATTATTATAATATCTTGTATATATGCCGCTATCTATGTATGGTAACTCAGTCTTCCAACATTGTTTCATTAATTGTATCAATTATAACTCAGGACTATTGGACTCCGACTGTTTTGTTGTTTATTATAACTCAGGATTATGGGGCTGCCCTGCTCAGTATAGAGACTACATCTGAAGATGTCTTCATCAAGAACTGGCTCAGTCAGAGAGATCAGGCCAAGTAAGTCTAATGATGATAGCATATAACGTGAATAGGGATTCTAGAAAGAGTAAAGTATGCTATAATAACATACCAATGTGCAAATATTTATGAAAACAGAGATTTAGTTATTATTCCATATTATCTCAACACATATTGGAGATAAGGTAAGGCACTCCATTTGTCCAAGGTGTTGTCCCGAGCATATCTAAGACTCGCACACTATTTCCCCTGGGGTCATCAAACTGGATATATGCTGGTACATCTTTGTAAGGCAATGATTTCACATGAAAAATAGGGCAGTTGACCTACTTTTGACCTTACCCTAGGTAAATAAAGTGCAAAATATGTCAGCTTGTAAAGATAATATTATTCTCCGGGTTTATCACGTTTATATGCTGTAAGAATAGGATCCCATTCCTGGGAATCAGCACACAGAAATTCAGAATAAGCCTGTCGACAGACACACTAGCAGGCAAACACTTTTGAACTAAATAAAAAATCTATTGAAATTACAGTGATCTGATATTTTTTTTTGTGTTTAATTTCTTCTGAATTCTGCTGTTTGGTAGGTATTCTAATAATATGTTGTTTGTGAAAATTATTCTCTGTGAAAAAGCAAATACATTGAATAATGACAGTCCATGTAATACATTGTGTCTCCTAGAAACCTGTGGTTTACCAGTGGTGTATATCTGGGAGACGGGATGTTTGTCTGGCAGAGTACCGGAGCCGAGCTGATTGATCACCTTGACTACTGGACCAGCATAAACCACATGCTGAAGACTGGTGCCAACATTGTCTATGGATACTCGGGTATAAATCATTGTCTCTATGGATACTCGGGTATAAATCATTGTCTCTATGGATACTCGGGTATAAATCATTGTCTCTACAGATATTCAGGTATAAATCATTGTCTCTACAGATACTCAGGTATAAATCATTGTCTCTACAGATACTCATTGTCTTAAAGAATTCTGGTAATTGTCATTGTTTCTATGGATTTTTTTTTTTTTTGCCCCTGCCTTAATGTGGTAAATATAGTTGTTTGGATGCTCTTGTAAAATCATTGTGTATAGAGAATCTGGTAAATGTCATTGTCCTTACCTCACCTGGATACTGTGGTAAATATAGTTGTATGGATACACTGGTAAATATCATTGTTCTTACCTCACCTGGATACTGTGGTAAATATAGTTGTATGGATACACTGGTAAATGTCATTGTCCCTACCTCAACTGGATACTGTGGTAAATATAGTTGTATGGCTACACTGGTAAATGTCATTGTCCCTACCTCAACTGGATACTGTGGTAAATATAGTTGTATGGCTACACTGGTAAATGTCATTGTCCCTACCCCACCTGGATACTGTGCTAAGTATAGTTGTATGGATACACTGGTAAATGTCAATTGTCCCTACCTCACCTGGATACTGTGGTAGATATAGTTGTATGCATACACTGGTAAATGTCAATTGTCCCTACCTCACCTGGATACTGTGGTAGATATAGTGGTATGGATACGCTGGTAAATATTATGTCTGGGTAATAGGGATCTGGTACATGGTTATTTGTGCATCTGTAATATTTTCGTGTTTTCCACAGTTAATTTAATCTGGAAATACAACACCACAGCAAACTGTTTTGATCAACAACAATTTCAGAGATCTATCATAATATTTCAGGAGACAAGCATTTATCAACATTATAAAAACATGTTTTTTTTGGGTTTTTTTCCTGGTTGGAGAGAGCGTTACAACAACAGGAGTTATGTCTATAAAGTCTGTCGTTGGTATAAAGAAGTGACCAGATTTACCCGGTTCATTTTTACATTGTCTTTATAGGAAGCAGTCAGAGCTATGGCTGGATGAGAACAGATGGCACCCATTCTCTGAGCTATATTTGCGAGATTCCACGTAAGGAAGTGTACCGCATCATACAGGAGGCGAGAGACTACTGTAAGTACGCATTGGATAGTTTAACAATAATAAATGTATCATGTTTACCTTTGAAGGTTAAATTCCTAAACACTCTGTCGATAGTACAACATGTTTATGTTAAACAGAGGACTAGCCTGCACGTCACACAAGACCAGTTTACAATGTACTTTATTTGACACTCGCTCAAAGGGGTCATGCTGGCCAAGTGGTTAAAGCGTCTGGCATTCTGCTACCACTAGCCCTCCACCACTGGGTCGCGGGTTCGAGGCCAACGTGGGGCAGTCACCCGGTACTGGCCGTAGGTTGGTGGTTTTCTTCTGGAACTCCGACTTTCCTCCACCACCAAAACCTGGAACGTCCTTAAAAGACCATAGCTGTTGATAGGAAGTAAAACACAAACAAACCAAACTAAACCAAACACTCGCTCAGCATTTCATGAAAACAATTAATCATGTGTTCAGCAAATATTTTTGTATGGATTCCATTACATAATATCCAAGTGTTATTTATTCGAGTGGAATAAACTCCCACCTGACTTTATTTCGAGCCCCACAACGGAATTATTCAAATCAGCCCTCTACCATCACTTTTCAATCGCAAATAAGACCATCTTGTATCTTTTAAAAACAATCTCTTTCCATGTTTCACTCCTCGTCTGACATTTTATCTTCAAATTGTTGAAGTTGGTCGGTACCATTTAGAAGTAGAAGTAGAATAACGGGGACTGGAAGGACTGCCTGTTACAGTACAATACTCGCTCTAAGGTGTGGCCCTGTAGAAATTAACTTTTTGTACAGGTAATGTGTTTTATATATGATTAAGTTTAGACAAGTTTGAACTGAAATTACTTCGTACACATGTTTGGAGCTTTGAGGTGACATTATAGCAGATTTCAACATGTGTTATTTCACATTTACAAATAATGCATAATTTGATAAGCCAAATGAAAATAACAATTTTACACTGTTTGCAGCATATGGAACTTTCTATACAAACCCTAGCTTAGTACCCCGTGGCCCGGAGATGTACATCAACCCGATAGACACGGAGATACTTGGGAAGACTCGACTTGTATTCCTGGAGTGCGAAGCTAAAGGGCTTCCCCAGCCAACCTACACATGGACAAGGAACTCGTCACAGGATGTGATTACCCCGACGACCGACATCCGATACACGCTGACCAATGGCCGACTGTCGATCCAGGACCCTACTGAGAGCAAAGATGCTGGCCAGTATCAATGTGAAGCTGAAAACAGATTTGGAAAGATAATCTCTGCTCCGGTCTTTCTTTCATTTGCATGTAAGTTTTGTTATAAGGGGTGGAGTATGTATTAATTGTTTTCTTAAAACATAAGATATTCATATTCCAGTACAGTACATAGAGTCTTTACAAATATAGACATAGCCACTGGGCCTGGGATCATGAAGCAATCTTACACTTAAGTTTTTGCTCAGCCAATCATGCATGATGTCACTTTTTTTAGGATATTATTTGTGATTGGTTAAGTCAAAACTTAAGACACATTATTTTGGGGCAAGATCTTTAAACTCTTAAGCAATACAAAATTATTTATCTCGAGACATTTTGTATTCCAGTCCTCGGCGATTTCACCAATGTAGATAGAGCTCCAACACGCCCTGCTGAGTACAGTGGTGCTATACTAGAATGTCCCACATTACAGGCCCGCTCAAAAGCAGGTTAGTGTCCATATTTTCTCATTATTAATTTTATTGGTACTTTAATTTTACCCTTTTAAGATAATGGTTTAACCACACTAAATCTTTGACTTAGCAACTTCATGATATATCAAACAAGTTGTATTGTTTAATTACTATCTTTAATGTTTAAGATTTTACCCTTTTTAAGTATTTAATAATATTTAAAAAAAAAAGTGTTTTTTTTTTATTGAATTTTTAGTCTTTTGTAAAAAAAAATGAAATAAAAGTGTTTTTATTTTGTTCCATTAGGTCTCACGTACCAGTGGAAGAGAGGTCGGGAGTTCATCATCACCGACCTCAACAACTATATGTTCATATCACAGGACGGAAAGCTGTACTTCTCCGAGGTGACACGCAGCGATAACGGCGAATATTACTGTATCACTACCCTCAGCAGTCCCAGTGATTCACGTAACTATATAGGGTCGGCACAGGTTCCCAGTCGCATCAGCAGGGAGGTCAACCTCGATGTCATAGCTCAACGTAAGAAGGAATTCGACCATAAACTCTGTTCCTTTATATTGACCATAAGCTCTGTTGCTCTGCATTGACTATAAGCTCCGCTCCTTTTTATCGACCACAAGCTCCGCTCCTTTTTATCGACCATAAGCTCCGCTCCTTTATATTGACCATAAGCTCTGCTCCTTTTTATCGCCCATAAGCTCCGCTCCCTTATATTGACCACAAGCTCCGCTCCTTTATATTGACCATAAGCTCTGCTCCTTTTTATCGACCATAAGCTCCGCTCCCTTATATTGACTATAAGCTCCGCTCCTTTTTATCGACCACAAGCTCCGCTCCCTTATATTGACTATAAGCTCCGCTCCTTTTTATCGACCATAAGCTCCGCTCCCTTATATTGACTATAAGCTCCGCTCCTTTTTATCGACCACAAGCTCCGCTCCTTTATATTGACTATAAGCTCCGCTCCTTTTTATCGACCATAAGCTCCGCTCCCTTATATTGACTATAAGCTCCGCTCCTTTTTATCGACCACAAGCTCCGCTCCCTTATATTGACTATAAGCTCCGCTCCTTTTTATCGACCATAAGCTCCGCTCCCTTATATTGACTATAAGCTCCGCTCCTTTTTATCGACCACAAGCTCCGCTCCTTTATATTGACTATAAGCTCCGCTCCTTTTTATCGACCATAAGCTCCGCTCCCTTATATTGACTATAAGCTCCGCTCCTTTTTATCGACCACAAGCTCCGCTCCCTTATATTGACTATAAGCTCCGCTCCTTTTTATCGACCATAAGCTCCGCTCCCTTATATTGACTATAAGCTCCGCTCCTTTTTATCGACCACAAGCTCCGCTCCTTTATATTGACTATAAGCTCCGCTCCTTTTTATCGACCATAAGCTCCGCTCCCTTATATTGACTATAAGCTCCGCTCCTTTTTATCGACCACAAGCTCCGCTCCCTTATATTGACTATAAGCTCCGCTCCTTTTTATCGACCATAAGCTCCGCTCCCTTATATTGACTATAAGCTCCGCTCCTTTTTATCGACCACAAGCTCCGCTCCTTTATATTGACTATAAGCTCCGCTCCTTTTTATCGACCATAAGCTCCGCTCCCTTATATTGACTATAAGCTCCGCTCCTTTTTATCGACCACAAGCTCCGCTCCCTTATATTGACTATAAGCTCCGCTCCTTTTTATCGACCATAAGCTCCGCTCCCTTATATTGACTATAAGCTCCGCTCCTTTTTATCGACCACAAGCTCCGCTCCTTTATATTGACTATAAGCTCCGCTCCTTTTTATCGACCATAAGCTCCGCTCCCTTATATTGACTATAAGCTCCGCTCCTTTTTATCGACCACAAGCTCCGCTCCCTTATATTGACTATAAGCTCCGCTCCTTTTTATCGACCATAAGCTCCGCTCCCTTATATTGACTATAAGCTCCGCTCCTTTTTATCGACCACAAGCTCCGCTCCTTTATATTGACTATAAGCTCCGCTCCTTTTTATCGACCATAAGCTCCGCTCCCTTATATTGACTATAAGCTCCGCTCCTTTTTATCGACCACAAGCTCCGCTCCCTTATATTGACTATAAGCTCCGCTCCTTTTTATCGACCATAAGCTCCGCTCCCTTATATTGACTATAAGCTCCGCTCCTTTTTATCGACCACAAGCTCCGCTCCTTTATATTGACTATAAGCTCCGCTCCTTTTTATCGACCATAAGCTCCGCTCCCTTATATTGACTATAAGCTCCGCTCCTTTTTATCGACCACAAGCTCCGCTCCCTTATATTGACTATAAGCTCCGCTCCTTTTTATCGACCATAAGCTCCGCTCCCTTATATTGACTATAAGCTCCGCTCCTTTTTATCGACCACAAGCTCCGCTCCCTTATATTGACTATAAGCTCCGCTCCTTTTTATCGACCATAAGCTCCGCTCCCTTATATTGACTATAAGCTCCGCTCCTTTTTATCGACCACAAGCTCCGCTCCTTTATATTGACTATAAGCTCCGCTCCTTTTTATCGACCATAAGCTCCGCTCCCTTATATTGACTATAAGCTCCGCTCCTTTTTATCGACCACAAGCTCCGCTCCCTTATATTGACTATAAGCTCCGCTCCTTTTTATCGACCATAAGCTCCGCTCCCTTATATTGACTATAAGCTCCGCTCCTTTTTATCGACCACAAGCTCCGCTCCCTTATATTGACTATAAGCTCCGCTCCTTTTTATCGACCATAAGCTCCGCTCCCTTATATTGACTATAAGCTCCGCTCCTTTTTATCGACCACAAGCTCCGCTCCCTTATATTGACTATAAGCTCCGCTCCTTTTTATCGACCATAAGCTCCGCTCCCTTATATTGACTATAAGCTCCGCTCCTTTTTATCGACCACAAGCTCCGCTCCCTTATATTGACTATAAGCTCCGCTCCTTTTTATCGACCATAAGCTCCGCTCCCTTATATTGACTATAAGCTCCGCTCCTTTTTATCGACCACAAGCTCCGCTCCTTTATATTGACTATAAGCTCCGCTCCTTTTTATCGACCATAAGCTCCGCTCCCTTATATTGACCATAAGCTCCGCTTCTTTATATTGACCATAAGCTCCGCTCCTTTATATTGACTATAAGCTCTGTTCCTTTGTATTCACCATAAGCTCTGCTCCTTTATATTGACCATAAGCTCTGCTCCTATATATAAACCATAAACTCTGTTCCTTCATATTGACATATAGGCTCTGCTCCTTTATATTAGCTATAAGCTCCGACACTTTGTTACATGTACCTTTTTGGTCTGTTTAAATACTGCTGTAGATTATTACCTCCCTTGACTTTACTATGATTTAATTAATGTGGGTTTCACATATGTAGTGACATCTTGTTCAATTGACACTTCGATTTATGAAAAAATCTGTGTCTTACCCACAAACACATCAATACACACCCCGTGTCTTAGCCTTATCCCTGCAGTCTAACCCCCACCGCCACCCCCCCTAGTCTTATCTTCACCTCCAGCAATCTCAGCCCATCCCACACAGTTATACTCCAGCAGTTCAGATGTATTTATACTTGTCCTCATCTTTACAGCCAGCAGTGAGGCGGCCGTACAGATCCAGGACAGCTTTATCCAAGTGTTTCCAAAGATACCAATAGCAGGACAGACCATTGCCCTCGAGTGTTTTGCTTATGGCTCGTAAGTACATTACAGATAGCATAAGGCAAAGAGTCTTTCTAACGGTGGGCTATTAAGTATGTTAGGTTAATTCTAGATACCAATACTCCTCAAAAACAAAAGAGGGAGGGACTAAATTGCAAAAAAAAAAAAATGACATTAGAAATACTTATCATCTTGTCCGCCCACAAACCTAAATTTTCTGTTTCAGTGGTAACCTTAAATACTCCTGGACTACTCCCGGTAAACAAGATGATCGCTTCTCACTGTTGGACAGTAGTCGTGTCCTCACCATAGCCAACGCCAGACTGGGGGACTCAGGAACCTACAGCTGTACAGTGAGGAGCAGGAAAACTGACACATTTGGCACAAAGATGTTCACACTCTCTATTGAAGGTAAAAGTCCAGTCTCTCAGGAGCTATACACAGCATAGGGCCAAATTATGGTTCATGGGGGCACATAAGTGGTTCATAGGGGCCACACAAATGGTTCAATGGGGCCACACATGTACAATGGTTCATATGGCTAAAATGTAGTTCATGGGTACACATAAGTGGTTCATTGGGGCCACACAGTGGTTCATATGGCTAAAATGTGATTCATGGGGCACACAAGTGGTTTATATGGCTAAATGTGGTTTGTGGGGGCACATATGTGGTTCATAAAGGTCACTTAAATGGCTCATAGAGGCCACACAAATGCTTCATAGGGGCTACTCATAGGTGCATAGGGGTCACACGTGGGATACACATTGGTTAAGGGTGGGCACTAAAGGGGGATAAAATCTCATCTTTGATATGCCTGTTTTCCTATGTCAAGGTACTTCTTTTTATCCCCTGCTTTCACCGAAACTGGGGATATTAATTTGGGCTTGTACGTCTGTCTGTCTGTCACGCTTCGTTTCCGTGCAATAACAACAACAAATGTTAACCGATTTTCTTCAAACTTCGTCACAGTGTTAAATGCCTTAAGGCTTGGCAAAGTTCGATAACCACTTTCAGCGGACCCCATTTGGTGGAGTTATGTCCCCTAGAATAACGAGAAACGTCAATAACTACCGCGCTTCGTTTCCGTGCAATAACTACAACAAATGTTAACTGATTTTCCTCAAACTTGGTCACAGGATTAAATGCCTTTAGGGCTCGACCAAGTTCGGTGACCACTTTTAGTGGACCCCATTTGGGGGAGTTATGTCCCCTTGAATAACGAAAAACGTCATTATCTGCTGCGTTTCGTTTCCATGCAATAACTACAACAAATGCTAACCGATTTTCTCCACACTTTGTCACAGGGTTAAATGCCTTCAGGGTTTGGCCAAGTGTGATGACCACTTTCAATGGACTTTATTTGGCGGAGTTATGGCTCCTTGAATAATGAAAAACATCATTATCTGCCATTTCTGTGCAATAACTGCAACAAATGTTAACCGATTTTCTTCAAACTCAATAACAGGGTTAAATGCCTTAAGGTCAGGGCCAAGGGCGATGACCATTTTCAGCAGACCCTATTTGACGGAGTTATGGCCCCTTGAATAACCAAAAACGTCATTATCTGGTGTTTCTGTTCATTAACTCTTGCAAATATTATCCGATTGTCTTCAAACTTAGTAACAGGGTTCAACGCATTGAGGGCTCGGCCAAGTTTGACAACCACTTTAATCGGACTCCATTTCGCAGAGATATTATCTGCAGTTTCCGTTTAATAACTCTAGCAAATATTAGACGAGGTTTTTTTTCTTCAAGTTTCAAGCTATACATTATGTCTCAACAGCACAATATTAACATGTTTAAACCTAACCTAAATAATGTTTACTTACAATATGTCCTGTAAGCAGGGGATATAAATTCCATGAATTTGCTTGTTCAGAATAATTATACTATTCATAAGCTTTGAACTGATAATGATTGAGATAGAGCATGGTCTTTTTTTGTGATTTTTTTTATAGAAGCTTGAAAATTTGAGGATTGAATGGAAGAGCTTTATCGGTTTTGAGTGCCTGTCGAATCTTCTACTACCCACATGCCTTCACACTGCTGTTATTGATTGATTCCGTGTGAAGGATATTAAGATCAGAGATAAAATAGTTCCAAAACACATGACTGGAAGAACCAGTAACACCTATGATCAATAATAAAAGTCAGATCTATTTCCTGTTTCTTTTGCAGCCAAACCATTCTTCACCCTCCCTCTAAAAAGCCAGCACGTAGGTACAGGTAAACAGTTGACATGGCGCTGTGAGGCACGGTCTATTCCCCGTGCCGTTTACACATGGTACAAGAATGGTGAACCTCTCCTCAACACTTCCGACATCGTTGTCATACGTAACACACTTGTCATACCAGCTCTTGAAAAGAAACACAGTGGCATGTATCAGTGTTCTGCCGACAACATCCACGGCACCACCATGAGCTCTGCACAGCTCAGGGTCCTTGGTAAGTTTCGGGGTCAATTTCTCCGTATCGTCAGGATTACACAATAATCAGCTCTAGCAAGCACCTGTCTAAGGCAAATTCCTGTTTAAAATTATGTTTTTAATCAACTTCTTATTAGTTTTTACAGGTGTAAATCACTGACTCAGTTATAAATAGTGTGTCATATAGGTAGTTTTGATATACACACCTGTCAAAAGACAGGAGGTATAATGTTATTACCTTGGCTGGCCTATAATCTTGTAGAATAATAAACTACAGTGTAATACATGTCCTTTAACCTTGTAGAATTCCCACCAACCTTCAACAAATCTCCCCTGCCATCCTCAATGATGGGGGCCAGGTTGGGCAATATCACTATTGCCTGTAACCCAGAAGCGGCACCCTACCCCATGTTCACGTGGCTGTTTGGGGGCAATGACATGAGCCTACGTGAAGGGGACACAACTTCCAGGATACGCATGCTGGCCAACGGAGACCTGCTTCTAACAAGGCTGGTTGACGCAGATGGAGGGGTGTACACCTGCAAAGTAGAGAATTCCTTGGGATCAGCAATGAGTACAACAAACCTAAAGATATTGAGTATGTATACCTGTACAGGAGAGAATGTCCTGGGGTCTGATATTGAGTATGTATACCTGTACAGTAGAGAATGTCCTGGGGTCTGATATTGAGTATGTATACCTGTACAGTAGAGAATGTCCTGGGGTCTGATATTGAGTATGTATACCTGTACAGTAGAGAATGTCCTGGGGTCTGATATTGAGTATGTATACCTGTACAGTAGAGAATGTCCTGGGGTCTGATATTGAGTATGTATACCTGTATAGTAGAGAATGTCCTGGGGTCTGATATTGAGTATGTATACCTGTATAGTAGAGAATGTCCTGGGGTCTGATATTGAGTATGTATACCTGTACAGTAGAGAATGTCCTGGGGTCTGATATTGAGTATGTATACCTGTACAGTAGAGAATGTCCTGGGGTCTGATATTGAGTATGTATACCTGTATAGTAGAGAATGTCCTGGGGTCTGATATTGAGTATGTATACCTGTATAGTAGAGAATGTCCTGGGGTCTGATATTGAGTATGTATACCTGTACAGTAGAGAATGTCCTGGGGTCTGATATTGAGTATGTATACCTGTATAGTAGAGAATGTCCTGGGGTCTGATATTGAGTATGTATACCTGTACAGTAGAGAATGTCCTGGGGTCTGATATTGAGTATGTATACCTGTATAGTAGAGAATGTCCTGGGGTCTGATATTGAGTATGTATACCTGTATAGTAGAGAATGTCCTGGGGTCTGATATTGAGTATGTATACCTGTATAGTAGAGAATGTCCTGGGGTCTGATATTGAGTATGTATACCTGTATAGTAGAGAATGTCCTGGGGTCTGATATTGAGTATGTATACCTGTACAGTAGAGAATGTCCTGGGGTCTGATATTGAGTATGTATACCTGTACAGTAGAGAATGTCCTGGGGTCTGATATTGAGTATGTATACCTGTATAGTAGAGAATGTCCTGGGGTCTGATATTGAGTATGTATACCTGTATAGTAGAGAATGTCCTGGGGTCTGATATTGAGTATGTATACCTGTATAGTAGAGAATGTCCTGGGGTCTGATATTGAGTATGTATACCTGTATAGTAGAGAATGTCCTGGGGTCTGATATTGAGTATGTATACCTGTATAGTAGAGAATGTCCTGGGGTCTGATATTGAGTATGTATACCTGTATAGTAGAGAATGTCCTGGGGTCTGATATTGAGTATGTATACCTGTATAGTAGAGAATGTCCTGGGGTCTGATATTGAGTATGTATACCTGTATAGTAGAGAATGTCCTGGGGTCTGATATTGAGTATGTATACCTGTATAGTAGAGAATGTCCTGGGGTCTGATATTGAGTATGTATACCTGTATAGTAGAGAATGTCCTGGGGTCTGATATTGAGTATGTATACCTGTATAGTAGAGAATGTCCTGGGGTCTGATATTGAGTATGTATACCTGTATAGTAGAGAATGTCCTGGGGTCTGATATTGAGTATGTATACCTGTATAGTAGAGAATGTCCTGGGGTCTGATATTGAGTATGTATACCTGTATAGTAGAGAATGTCCTGGGGTCTGATATTGAGTATGTATACCTGTATAGTAGAGAATGTCCTGGGGTCTGATATTGAGTATGTATACCTGTATAGTAGAGAATGTCCTGGGGTCTGATATTGAGTATGTATACCTGTATAGTAGAGAATGTCCTGGGGTCTGATATTGAGTATGTATACCTGTATAGTAGAGAATGTCCTGGGGTCTGATATTGAGTATGTATACCTGTATAGTAGAGAATGTCCTGGGGTCTGATATTGAGTATGTATACCTGTATAGTAGAGAATGTCCTGGGGTCTGATATTGAGTATGTATACCTGTATAGTAGAGAATGTCCTGGGGTCTGATATTGAGTATGTATACCTGTATAGTAGAGAATGTCCTGGGGTCTGATATTGAGTATGTATACCTGTATAGTAGAGAATGTCCTGGGGTCTGATATTGAGTATGTATACCTGTATAGTAGAGAATGTCCTGGGGTCTGATATTGAGTATGTATACCTGTATAGTAGAGAATGTCCTGGGGTCTGATATTGAGTATGTATACCTGTATAGTAGAGAATGTCCTGGGGTCTGATATTGAGTATGTATACCTGTATAGTAGAGAATGTCCTGGGGTCTGATATTGAGTATGTATACCTGTATAGTAGAGAATGTCCTGGGGTCTGATATTGAGTATGTATACCTGTATAGTAGAGAATGTCCTGGGGTCTGATATTGAGTATGTATACCTGTATAGTAGAGAATGTCCTGGGGTCTGATATTGAGTATGTATACCTGTATAGTAGAGAATGTCCTGGGGTCTGATATTGAGTATGTATACCTGTATAGTAGAGAATGTCCTGGGGTCTGATATTGAGTATGTATACCTGTATAGTAGAGAATGTCCTGGGGTCTGATATTGAGTATGTATACCTGTATAGTAGAGAATGTCCTGGGGTCTGATATTGAGTATGTATACCTGTATAGTAGAGAATGTCCTGGGGTCTGATATTGAGTATGTATACCTGTATAGTAGAGAATGTCCTGGGGTCTGATATTGAGTATGTATACCTGTATAGTAGAGAATGTCCTGGGGTCTGATATTGAGTATGTATACCTGTATAGTAGAGAATGTCCTGGGGTCTGATATTGAGTATGTATACCTGTATAGTAGAGAATGTCCTGGGGTCTGATATTGAGTATGTATACCTGTATAGTAGAGAATGTCCTGGGGTCTGATATTGAGTATGTATACCTGTATAGTAGAGAATGTCCTGGGGTCTGATATTGAGTATGTATACCTGTATAGTAGAGAATGTCCTGGGGTCTGATATTGAGTATGTATACCTGTATAGTAGAGAATGTCCTGGGGTCTGATATTGAGTATGTATACCTGTATAGTAGAGAATGTCCTGGGGTCTGATATTGAGTATGTATACCTGTATAGTAGAGAATGTCCTGGGGTCTGATATTGAGTATGTATACCTGTATAGTAGAGAATGTCCTGGGGTCTGATATTGAGTATGTATACCTGTATAGTAGAGAATGTCCTGGGGTCTGATATTGAGTATGTATACCTGTATAGTAGAGAATGTCCTGGGGTCTGATATTGAGTATGTATACCTGTATAGTAGAGAATGTCCTGGGGTCTGATATTGAGTATGTATACCTGTATAGTAGAGAATGTCCTGGGGTCTGATATTGAGTATGTATACCTGTATAGTAGAGAATGTCCTGGGGTCTGATATTGAGTATGTATACCTGTATAGTAGAGAATGTCCTGGGGTCTGATATTGAGTATGTATACCTGTATAGTAGAGAATGTCCTGGGGTCTGATATTGAGTATGTATACCTGTATAGTAGAGAATGTCCTGGGGTCTGATATTGAGTATGTATACCTGTATAGTAGAGAATGTCCTGGGGTCTGATATTGAGTATGTATACCTGTATAGTAGAGAATGTCCTGGGGTCTGATATTGAGTATGTATACCTGTATAGTAGAGAATGTCCTGGGGTCTGATATTGAGTATGTATACCTGTATAGTAGAGAATGTCCTGGGGTCTGATATTGAGTATGTATACCTGTATAGTAGAGAATGTCCTGGGGTCTGATATTGAGTATGTATACCTGTATAGTAGAGAATGTCCTGGGGTCTGATATTGAGTATGTATACCTGTATAGTAGAGAATGTCCTGGGGTCTGATATTGAGTATGTATACCTGTATAGTAGAGAATGTCCTGGGGTCTGATATTGAGTATGTATACCTGTATAGTAGAGAATGTCCTGGGGTCTGATATTGAGTATGTATACCTGTATAGTAGAGAATGTCCTGGGGTCTGATATTGAGTATGTATACCTGTATAGTAGAGAATGTCCTGGGGTCTGATATTGAGTATGTATACCTGTATAGTAGAGAATGTCCTGGGGTCTGATATTGAGTATGTATACCTGTATAGTAGAGAATGTCCTGGGGTCTGATATTGAGTATGTATACCTGTATAGTAGAGAATGTCCTGGGGTCTGATATTGAGTATGTATACCTGTATAGTAGAGAATGTCCTGGGGTCTGATATTGAGTATGTATACCTGTATAGTAGAGAATGTCCTGGGGTCTGATATTGAGTATGTATACCTGTATAGTAGAGAATGTCCTGGGGTCTGATATTGAGTATGTATACCTGTATAGTAGAGAATGTCCTGGGGTCTGATATTGAGTATGTATACCTGTATAGTAGAGAATGTCCTGGGGTCTGATATTGAGTATGTATACCTGTATAGTAGAGAATGTCCTGGGGTCTGATATTGAGTATGTATACCTGTATAGTAGAGAATGTCCTGGGGTCTGATATTGAGTATGTATACCTGTATAGTAGAGAATGTCCTGGGGTCTGATATTGAGTATGTATACCTGTATAGTAGAGAATGTCCTGGGGTCTGATATTGAGTATGTATACCTGTATAGTAGAGAATGTCCTGGGGTCTGATATTGAGTATGTATACCTGTATAGTAGAGAATGTCCTGGGGTCTGATATTGAGTATGTATACCTGTATAGTAGAGAATGTCCTGGGGTCTGATATTGAGTATGTATACCTGTATAGTAGAGAATGTCCTGGGGTCTGATATTGAGTATGTATACCTGTATAAAAGAGAATGTCCTGGGGTCAGATATTGAGTATGTATACCTGTACAGTAGAGAATGTCCTGGGGTCTGATATTGAGTATGTATACCTGTATACAAGAGAATGTCCTGGGGTCTGCCATGATAACCATATGTTACACTCTTGAGTCATCCTCAAAATTCAAGGGGTTTCCCTTTCTTGTGTTCTCTGAACCCCATAGAATATGTCATGATGAAATCAAAGGCTCTATGCATGCCACCTTTTGAATGGTACAAATAGACTGGTTTGATCCTTTGATGTACATCAAAAGAATCATGTGGCATGGTAATGGTAAAATTGACTGGCTTTATTGTCAGGTGTCACTCCTCTGTAGTCTTCAAAGGCTTGGTATCAATCTAGCGATTTATCAGGGTTTTTTCCACCGGAAACAATTTAAATAGCTAACCATGTGCCTTCCATTTTGTCATGACTTAAGTGAATACAACGCATCAGGGTACCCCAAAGGTTGATGATGAATTGCATTTATAACAGAGAGTTATTTCAAAGAGTTATTTCAAAAATTTACTTTAAAAATTATTCTTCAAATCCAAACTTCAGTTTTGTAAAATTCTCTCCCAACTACCCTTCCATAATGATGATCATATATGTCTGAAAAAGATGCATGCAAACTGTCAGGAAAAAGCAAATGCATCAGTTAATTGATATCAAAATTCATCCTGTGGAACCTAGCTAAAGATCTAGTTTATTACCACTTCCGTAATATTGATTCACCGGTTATACAGTGCTATTCCCCTGGTTACCCCCGACACCTGACAGTACCTAGCGTCTGGCCTAACTGTAGTGATCTGTTGACAGCTAGGACTTCCATTAGTGTACCTCCAGTGAAGAGAGAAGTTATTGTCAACAACACAGTGTTTATACCGTGCCGTGCCTCACATGACCCGGCGCTGGACCTCATCTACACCTGGCAACTCAATGGACACAATCTAGATGTCCAACGTGACACCACCTACCAGCTGGTAAGAATCGAGTGATGTGTTCAAAAGTATCTCTGGTGTTTTCGGAATTTTTGTACCTCCACTGCACAAAGCCTGGTATATTATTTGTTTGTCCTGTCTGTCAATCCATCTGAGCTAGCATCTACAACTTACACATCAAACAGAGTGGCCTAACACAATGAAATTAAAAAACATTCATTCTGTTAACTACTTATTCTGTTGCTTCTTGGGAATTAATCCTTTGTTTCGGAAACAGACTGTAAATCCCTTAAGAAGTTCTGGAACATCAATCTGTCCGTCCGTTACACTCTGTGTCATCATTCTAGTGGCCATATTTCCTGACTGATTTCATGAAATTTAACTGGTATATTTACCTGGAAGATTTAATTTGGGCGTTATAAGTCAAAGTTCAAGGTCTCTGTCAATAGAAATAATTATAATGTCACTGCCTCACCCCCTCTGTCAATAGAAATGATTATAATGTCACTGCCTCATCCCCTTGTCACCATTCTAATAGCTGCGTTTCTTGATTGATTTGGAAGATAGTCTTTGTAGGTATTCTTTCCTAAAACCAACATACCTTTGACAGGTACAAATTTGGGCATGATAGTGAAAGTTCAAAACATTTACTTGCAGTATAGAATTTCACCCTAACTCTTTGTCATCACTCCATTAGCTAAATTCCTAAGCAGATTTTTATAAAACTTCATTTGTACATTTGCCTTTGAGATACCTTAGATAGTTTGAATAAGTGTGTGTCTGGTCAAAGGTCAAGGACTTTGTTACTAAAAGAGAATATCACAAACACGCTCCTTGTTATCACTCTAGTAATTGCACTTCTTGACAGATTTTGATGTTTTATTTTATTTTGCATGTATAGTGTGTTGTTTGTATGTGCAAAAGGCTTAATAAAACTTAAACAACTTTGAAGAAGTTTAAATCATGCAAATAATGATATTTCACTCTCATCAACCTATTGTTTTACTATTTAGTAATGTAACACTATACAATGGACTGCATTTCAACCGCCATTGTTCTGTGCTAGTATTTAATGAGCCGTATTACCCCCGGTACATAGATTGGTTTTAGATGATGTGTTGGTTTGTAGGGTGGTGATGGGAGAGGAGGGCTGTATATCCGTAGTGCCCAGTTCCGACACCAGGGAGAGTACACCTGCACTGCCTCGACTCCTGTAGACCAAGACTTTGCGTCCAGCACACTAACAGTCCTAGGTGAGTGATATGTTAGCATTGGTGATATATCCTAGATGTTATGGATTTATACTCTTGTCGTAAAAAACTTGTTTATATGTGAACAAAATAGAAATTGTCATGTTGAACACTGCACTGGAGACCTCAGGGATCTCAATATTTTCTTTTCTCTCTTGCCGGCCCCCGTTTCATTTTTGGCCTTGTGTCACGCTGTCCCCCAATGCACCTCTGGTTGACCTGTGGTCAGCAATGAGACAAGGTGGAGTGCTATTCTACCAGACTAGGACATCTCAATGATGCCGGGCGGCACTTTCATGTTCCCCTTGAATGCATGACACCATCATAATATTAAGTGGACATGAAGTTCATATCTTATCAAATCTTACAAGGTTCCACAATGCCAAACAAAAAACAGTCCTGATCTGATCATAAAAATAAGCAATCTTTTCAAGAGAGATGTTTTAAAACTGATTTTTTTCCTAAGAAATAAAAACAAAATCTTTATGCTGCAACCGGAAAATTGTTAGTGTAATATGTATTGCATGTCTAACATTAAATTGCTCAAAACATAACTTTGTTTTAATGACTTAACATGATGAGATAATTTCTGGCACTCTCATTGATTGTTACCTAGGTCCTCCAGGGGAACCAGCAGGTGTGTACAATGACATAGCGAGTCCCCCTCCAAACCCGCGCACAGTCAGAATCAAGTGGTCAGACGGAAAGCTCAATGGCCCTCCCATCACCTTCTACATGATAGAGGCCAAGACCAACTACTCATCGAAGTGGTACCTACAGACCATGAGTAAGTGTGAAAATTATAAACCAGCTACTTCACTAAGTGTTACGTACAGTACCTACAGACCATGAGTAAGTGTGAAATGTATAAACCAGCTACTTCACTGTAATTTTAGAAGTTATCCTTGGCAAAAGGTGAACATTTTTTTTTGTGAAATTCAATACCACACCTTCCTTACATGAGCATGAAAAATCTTTGTCTAAATATTGCAAATACTATCATATCATATGGTAGAAGTTGTAGTAATGCTGTCAGATTTGATGAGTGAGAACTACTAAAGTGATCTGGTCATTCCAGATGTGTCCTACTCCAGTGCTATCGTAGTTGGAGACTCAGACAAGCGGTCAGCTCTGGTGGATAACCTCAAACCTGGTGTGGCCTACAGGTTCAGGGTTGTGGCTGTCAACCAGTATGGATTTGGTACCCCTAGTATCCCTACAGGTAAGTCATCACAATAATGGCCACAGTTACAATATCCTAATTTGTCCTACAGGTGAGCTATCATCAGTATCTCTACAGGTGAGTTATCGCAAATGATGTCCACAGTTACAATAGCCTAATTTATCCCAAAGGTGAGATAATTAGAATCTCTTAACCCCTTAGAGGTGAGATAGGGGAATCTCAACCTGAGGGGAAAGATTCTTAAGTTGCCAAACACAAGGCTTTGTAGAGTGTTTGAATTGGCAACATATGAATCTTTCCCCGAGGGTTGAGATTCCCAATCTCACCACAAGGAGGTGAATTTTTCTTTTTCTCTTACCCTGTTCACCCATTTTGTATCATATAGATAATGTAATGTTAACGTTACAGGCTAAATTCAGGGTTGACGCTAGAGAGCGTAGGTGAGCGTAACCCCTGGATATCGAGGATGCCCTAAAGGTAGTTACCTCAGTCTATTGTGTTCATCATTAACATTAATAATGTTTTAATAAATATAAGAGAATTTTTATTTCTGTTATTTAAATCTTCTTTTTCTTTCCAGATTATAAGACAATACCTGCTGCTCCTCCTGAGGTACCTCCAAAAATGGTTGGGGGTGGCGGGGGAAAGGTTGGAGAGCTCAGAATTACCTGGAAGGTAGGTATCTAACACCTGTAATTAGGGTTCCTGGTGCCCAAATCTCAACTGCACATTAAGGTATCATTTGTTGTAACCATCAGTTAGTAAATCCTGTTTCACATATTTCATTAAAAGCTCCATTTCTTCATTGATGATTCTGGTTTTTCGAGGATGTATAGAATAAACAAACAAATTATCCAGCTTGAAAGTTTGATATAACAGCACGACAGGACCTACAGAACTGTCCTGTGAATATTATAGCTTATGTTAGCCTTGTACGATTCAAATAGGCCCAACTGTATGATAATGTATTTATATTGATCCTACGACAACGTTAATACGGTAAGCAGTTGTCTTTATCCAACTAATCAATGATCCCTCTGGTGTTGACATTGTATGTTTAAATAACATGGTGATAACATTTGTGTGACAGCCCCTGCCTCCAGAGGACCAGTTTGGTTGGGGGATCGGCTACCTGGTAGAATGGAAATTACGACAGATAGATATTGGTACCTCACGCTCCATGTGGGCACAGGTAAAGGAAGGTCAACTAAACCTTGTTCTATACCTTAAGTGCCGTCAATAGTAAAATGATACCTATCAAACATTGATATCATTTAAAAGTTATCCAGATTTTCATTTTTTGAACGAGATCAAACTATTCATCATTTATGCAGGCTACTGTACAGTGTAATAACACCTCAACATCCTTTCTAATATTTCATGTTTAAGTAACTGCTACATGACTTCAGCAAATTTCATTGGGTTTTTTTCCGTAAAATTTTAGGATCTTCAACTTAGAAAGATAAAGGCTTATTTTCCCTTGCATAAAATGTGTGCATAATTAATAAGCATAATTTGATTGGTTGATTTTTACAAATCTTCCCCAACCAGACACACAAATTTCTTTCGATACAAAATAAAATTACTTGCAATATTATGCTCCTTGTTTGCAGTGCTTTGATAATTGTGTTGTTAAATGTTAAAACAAAAAAATGATTATAATCATTAGATTTTTTTGTTCTACATGTAATTGTTTGTTCTTCATGTATTTGACAGGCACGTGTGTATGGTAACAAGAGTGAGTACTCAACCACGGTTGGAGCAGATTTACCCTACGTCGAGTATGAAGTACGAGTGACACCATTTAATATGTTCGGGGATGGTAAAGCCACACTCACCGCATTTATCTACTCTGCCGAGGGATGTAAGTCACAGGATTAAAACTGTAGAGACAATTCACTGTAGTAACAAACCTTACCATGTTCTTATTTTATTGTTGGCCAAAGAGACTGTGTCATAATAAAAGGATAAAACAGGTTAGGGTTACTCCCCGATTCAGGTTACATCACTCCCAGCAAATGGTTTATTTTTGGGTAATTTCTCTTCAACAGTGTGAAGAAATCTTAAATGTTATATTGTCACACCTCTTTGTCTACTAAGAAAAATCCATCTTTTGATAAAAAATTAGATCTATTCTTGTAAGTTAAGTTTTCTCTGCAGCATGTGAGTTAATAACTTTTATAATTTACTCTATTAGATATAAACCATAGTCACCACACATGTTAGATATATTATGTAATTTACACTTTTGTTTACAGTGCCAGTCAGTACCCCCACAAAGGTGTACGCCGACAGCTATAACAGTACGGCCGTCAGCGTCCACTGGAAACCAGTCAAAAACACCATCCAGAGCATGAAAGGTCGTCTCCGTGGTTACAAGGTAGGAAATATAATGGTACTATTGAGGAACTAAGACAATCATTGAGACTTTCAGTCATTGTCCGTTCTGAATACAGTCTAACAGCCTTAAAGCCATATTATTTGGGGGCCGCAAATACCCGAAATATAGTTGGGTGGAATCTGAGACATTTCGTTACCTGGTACTAAAACTTTAAATACAATGTCAAGTAACACATAGGACATAGAAAGGGAACAAATTAAAGTATAAAGTTGAAACATTAGTCAATGTACTGAAAATCTTTTGGGTAGTACAGAAACTTCTATACAAGTACTGAAACGTCATATACTGGTACCAAAACAACTGAGTACCGAGATGACTGTACCCGATTGGGTATTCATTATGTCAGTAAAATGTTACCATGGCACCAAATAATGGCCAGTAGATACAGGGGATATTTAAGAAATCTGATTGTTTTTTATTAGACCATTGCATTACAAATCATCAGCAGGTTTCCTTCCTGTTTAGCCTTTATACATGAATGGTTTAAGAGTTTTTTGTAACTAGATCTTACTGACAGATAATTTATCTGATGAAGACGCCAGAATATACATATTGTACTAAAGTTATTGAAATCTTATTGAACTATTGAGGAACTAAGACAATCATTTAGACATTCAGAGTCAAAGGTCTGATTACAGTCAAACAGCCTTAAATCAATATCATTTGGAGGGACACATAGGACACAAAAAGCAAACGAAGTACAAAGTCGAAATTAGTCAATATTCATCTTTCCTGAAGCCTTGTAGTTACAGACCAGCTACCTCAGACAATGTGTTTACATATTATATCTGTTACAGGTAAACTACTGGCTGCGAGAGGGCGGCGACGAGATGCATGCCATCCAGGCCATTTTCTACGGGGACATAGACCACGCCATCATCATCGGCCTCCTGCCGGATACCTGGTACTACTTCAATGTACAGGTGTTTAACACAGCAGGCAATGGTCAGAAGAGCGAGAAGTACCCGCAGGAGACGGACCGATACCGTATGTATATATATTATAAACTTTATTTATTTTATAACAATTATGGAACAAGTTGTTTCAAATTATATCAATCCCGGATGCTGGCAGGCTGTAAGTCTTAATTTGAGAGGAAACCAGAGTACCCGGAGAAAACCCATGTGTTTGGGCAGGTGACCCCATACATTTTCACGTCCGATCAGGAAATCAAACCCCTGACGCCTTGGTGAAAGGCAAGTGCGCTATTCACTGCACCACCCGACCGACCGATACTGTGAGTAATTTTTGGCATAGCATTGTCTATTTGGCAGTATGCATACCTGCTAAATGACCCACAAAATTAACCTATCACCTGCGACCAACTCATGACCCATGCGGGTCAGACAAATGTACTGTATGTACTTTTGTTAAAATAAAATTGCCAAATGTTCAGAACTGTTGAAACTTGACATGCCTTTAATCACAAATCATTAACAATTAACATTGTGATGCCTGTTCTTTATATGTTATGAAAGCTTGCAAAAAATAAATGAATCTTATTATTTAGACAATAATTTGTGTACATTTGTATTCAACAAATTTTACCTTAAGGTCAAGGTCACAAAAGTACCCCGGTAGTCAATAATTTGGCAATTTTATGCATCTTGATGTTAGTTCAAAAATATTTAATGAACTGGAAAATATACCTAATTAATTAAGACAAGGTCATAGTAACAAGTTTGGTCTTGATTAAAGTGGGTGAATTACATAAATTTGGAGTTCCAGTTTTGGCACTTTTGAGTATACTGTTTATTTGAATGGTGTGTTTTAGGTCCTATGCGGTACCCAACAGAGGTCCATGTCCACTCTCACAGTACTGAGTCTGCCAAGGTGACCTTCAGAGGAATATCTACCCAGGTGGAGGAAGAACCCCTTAGGGGTTACATGGTGGGTATAGGGGTTACATGGTGGGTAAAGGGGTAACATGGTGGGTATAGGGGCTACATGGTGGGTATAGGGGTCACATGGAGGGCATAGGGGGTACATGGTGGGTATAGGGGTTACATGGTGGGGATAGGGGTTACATGGTGGGGATAGGGGTTACATGGTGGGGATAGGGGTTACATGGTGGGTAAAGGAGTTACATGGTGGGTATAGGGGGTTACATGGTGGGTATATATAGGGGTTACATAGTGGGTATATAGGGGTTACATGGTGGGTATAGGGGTTACATGGTGGGTATAGGGGTTACATGGTGGGTATATATATAGGGGTTACATGTGGGTATAGGGGTTACATGGTGGGGATAGGGGCTACATGGTGGGTATAGGGGTCACATGGTGGGTACAGGGGCTACATGGGGGGTACAGGGGTTACATGGTGGGTATAGGGGCTACATGGGGGGTATAGGGGTCACATGGTGGGTACAGGGGTTACATGGTGTGTATAGGGGTTACATGGTGGGTATAGGGGGTACATGGTGGGTATAGGGGTTTCATGGTGGGGATAGGGGTTACATGGTGGGGAAAGGGGTTACATGGGGGGTATAGGGGTTACATGGTGGGCATAGGGGTTACATGGTGGGTAAAGGAGTTACATGGTGGGTATAGGGGTTACATGGTGGGTATATATATAGGGGTTACATGGTGGGTATATAGGGGTTACATGTGGGTATAGGGGTTACATGGTGGGTATAGGGGTTACATGGTGGGTATAGGGGTTACATGGTGGGTATAGGGGTTTCATGGTGGTATAGGGGTTACATGGTGGGTACAGGGGTTACATGGTGGGTAGAGAGGTTACATGGTGGGTATAGGGGTTACATGGTGGGTATAGGGGTTACATGGTGGGTATAGGGGTTTCATGGTGGTATAGGGGTTACATGGTGGGTACAGGGGTTACATGGAGGGTATAGGGGTTACAGAAGATGATCCAGTTCTCAATTATTTAAAGCACAAAATGAATAAAAATGAAAAGCATTATTTTAAGGAGGTATTATATTCTTTTGCAAGCTGAAAAAATTTGCAACAAAAAATGATAAAAAATTGAACCCTTCTAAGTTGTTTGCAAAAAAATGTGAAAATGTGTCCTTTAGTATTAAAGTAGTATAAAGTTTAATTCTATATGATAACGTGCTTGTTATTTATATATTGTATAGATAAAATACTGGGAGACGTCCGATGACATTCGCCAGGCTAAAACTTTGGACGTTGAAAAGGCCAATGCCGGTATTATTTATGGACTAAAGAAGGGAATTGTGTACAAACTGAGGGTGCTGGGATACAGTCAGGGTGGTGAGGGGAAAATGTCTTCACCTGCTACTCTTTTCACGATGGGTAGGTATTATGTGACAAATCGTATTACTACTGTATGTACAATTCCCCAAACTCCATTCTATATCATTAATAGGATACGTCACTTCTTATAAGAAGAATTATTTCTCGTATGTAGTTTCGAGGTACATGTATATTAATGTCAAATTGATATTCTAACCTAGCTTAGATATCTACATATTTTTTCATACAAGGCGTTTGCATTGCTGACAATTCACTTCTTATCAATGAGTGAAATACTTCATGTTCGTTGTTTATGTTTCACATATTTTGATCCTTTAAAGTTCATCTCAGGAATGTATATAAGTACCAAGTGTAAAACTTGAACGTGTCACCAGCTGATGAAGCTAATTTTGTTTATTCCTGTATATTTGTCCTGTAGCTGGTGGCAGTATTCCTTACGACCCAACGTCTACAGACATCATGGCTGCTGCCTCCAGCCTCTCCGTCTCCACGACAATCACTGTGATATGTACCATAGCATCTCTAGTGCTCTTCCTCATTTGAGTATCAGTGCTTGTCATCATTTGAGTATCAGTGCTTGTTCCTTTTAAGTACTCATCTCCAGCTGGTCAATAGATGTGTTCATTGGAGTATCTGGACATTGGCAGCTCTCACGCAAAGTTGACTAATAATTTTGCCATTTTTGTCACGGTGCCATACTGTAAAAGTGGAAATGTTCACATTTTTTTTCGCATTGAGTAAATTGGCGCGAAAATATCCCCTCCCAAGTATTTCTTTATAGATCATAAAGATAAATATTGTACATATATAGATTTCAGAACAGTTGCCAATGCGAAAATTTCAACATTGTTATAAGTTTAAACTGAGTCATAACATGAACATTTGTACTACACAGTATTACTATTGTCCGTAAACAGTGCTAGAAGTGCAGGATAAGAATCAATGAAGTATGTCTGAGTGATAAGTTGTATATCGGAGGGTAACAGTGTATGCATCAGAGGGTAACAGTATATACATCAGAGGGTAACAGTATATACATCAGAGGGTAACAGTGTATACATCAGAGGGTAACAGTGTATACATCAGAGGGTAACAGTATATACATAAGAGAGTAACAGTATATACATCAGAGGGTAACAGTTTGGTATATACTTACCCTCTGATGGGTTACCCTCTGATGTATATACATCAGAGAGTAACAGTTTGGTATATACTTACCCTCTGATGTGTTACCCTCTGATGTATATACATCGGAGGGTAACAGTGTATACATCA